GGAATATTCTCATCAGTGCAGAGAATGCTGACAATTGTTTACTATGTTTTAAAAATACTTTTTATACATATAAGGGTTTTTGTTGTTGTTGTTGTTATTGTTGTTGTATTAAAAATCATCCAAATAGAAAAGAACAGAGACAGGAACATGTATTTAAATAGAAGGTTGTACCTAGATTTTCTAGAAGCCATGCTGGAAGGTTTTATTGTCAATAGAATAACCTGTACCTTTTATTCTTCTATGTGCTTCACTCCTTTGTTTGAATATTTGAATTGTTTTATAATAATAATAATAATAATAACAACAACAACAACAACAATAATAATAACATTTATTTATATCCCGCCCTAAGGAAATCCAATCAGGGCGGCTTGCAACCATAAAAACATATACAGTACACATAAAAACATATATAATACAACAACCCAGTCCCCCCTTAAAGCACTTAAAGAAGAGCCAACTGTCCACTGTGCTTACTACAGCCACCCAAAAGCAGTGCTTCTCTCAGCACTGAGTTTCTCATTGAGATATTATTGTGAGAATGAAAAATGGTGAGCACTGTGCCTAACGGTGCAGGACACTTGTTTTTGTGATCATCTGCCACCACAAATAAAATGTGGAAGAGGGGGTCACTTATAAAAATGTGATGGCACTAAGGAGCCCAACTGAGGAGATATTGCAATGGCTGAGAACCTCCTCAGTGATCCTGCCTAACCCTGGGACTTAACTTTATGATTGAGCAGAGTTAAGTATGCAATATGCCCAGTCAGTTCTAGCAATATCTGTACATTTTTGTTTTTCAGTAAAGGTATAATGTAGACCACCCAGTGGCATTGGGCGGGGGGAGGGATTGCACAGGGTGTGGAATGCACTGGGTGACAGAGCCTTCAGTTCTCAGGTTGTGTCACCCAGTGAGGTGGTACACCCAGAGGTACTGGCATGACTACTGGAAAGGTGAAAAAGGGTGCTTTCCTGTTAGCCCAGCAACTGCACTGGAAGCTAAACAAGCCTTCTAGAGACCACACTGTTTTCCCCCTCAGTAGCAGCAGCTGCTGGGGGAGGGCAGTGCATTCATAGTCCCAAATAGCATCCACCATGCAGGACTCTGAAAGTGGAGCAGTGGGGGAGGCCCTCAGTCTGAAGGGCAGTGACAGAGCCTTCAGTTTCATGTGGCAACTGCCATGCAGGATTCTGAAGATGGGCTAGTGGTGACAGCGGAGCCCTCAGTCTGAAGGAGTCCAAAGGTGAGGAGTGGTGACAGAGCCTTCAGAGTCCCATGAAGCAGCCACCATGCAGAATTCTGAAGTGGGGTGGTGGGGGGTGGAGCCTTCAGAGTCCCGCATGGCAGCAGCAAGCGTAACACCAACCCTAGTGATGCCACTGCACTGTAACACCAACACTGAGACCACCAAGTCATTCTATATATTTAGTTATCTTCCACACTGTTACTGTGTTTTGTTTTGCCAAAAGTGTATATTTTAAGGATATCCCAATATTTGTTTACATTTATTTCTAAGCTTATATTCATACTAACAATGGCAAACCAATGTATAGGATCTTGAGATTTTTAAATTCCTTACCATGACTTTCAGACATTTTTGGTGGAATGATATATACATTGATAAACTCTTTGATAGAATGACTGCTAACTAGTTTAATTCATGCTTTTGGGAAGGACAGGAGGGGAGGTGCAATCCCTATAGGGAACATTTTCCCCCAAGGGAAGGTGACAGTCTGTAAAGTTTGCACACATGGTGAAGAGAAGTTTACATCTTGTGTTTTCTTGATTTTCAAATTGGATTCAAAGATATGGTGAATTCATTGCACAAAGAACATAGATGCTATAGATAAAAGGACAAAATAGTGCTAGACCTCAGTATTTTATTTGGTATGTAAAAATGTAAAAATGGTCTCATGAAGTTATTAATTTATTATGGCTGGGTCAGATCAAAACTAAATTAGCTATGCTTTATTTCTGTTGACATTAATACAACTAAAGTTAGTCATGAATACCATCTCACTAGTTTCAGGCAGGTGTGCAATGAAAGTAATTAATCTGGGTCCAATCCATCATCATCATCATTATTATCAATCATCATAATCTACTAATAACAGTTATTATCTGCTTTTCCAGTGAAGTACAGAAGAGAATTTACTATGAACTGTAAATCTCCTGTAAAACAGAAGTAAAATAAAACAAATTGAAACTACAAAATACAAAATAGCAGAAAATTAATCAAGACAAAAATCTAAAACATTAATTTTAATATGACAACAAGATTTACAGTTCAGTGTAATATTCTGAGGAAAAGTACCTAAGTAGCATCAAGTTGTACATGTTGTCTGTTGGTCTATCTAGGACCAACATCTCTGTTCATTAAATTGTTAACTGAAAGTATATTGTGTTTCATTCCACAGAAATGTATGAATCCAACAATATAGTCACTTTCCATGGACTTGTCAATAGTTCCAGTTACCACACATTCCTTTTGGATGAGGAGCGGAGTAGACTCTATGTTGGAGCAAAGGATCACATATTTTCTTTCAACCTAGTCAATATCAAGGAATATCAAAAGGTAACTTTATCCACATTTCAAATTCCTTTTAATCTTAGTATATGAGGTGAGATGGCTCAATCTTTATGGTATTTGACTATGACTAGTTGTTACTGTAAGGGTAAACCTGCATTTTCACTGCCCATGTTAGCCCATGTTAAGTTTCCTTGCATAATGTAATATTCTTAGTAAAAAGTATTCATTTGATTTATTCCTATGAAGCATGTTGCGCAAAATGTTTAGTCAGAAAATTTGTTTGTTTGATAGGAAGAAGCTTTCAGTGCTGTGACTCTTCTGAAGTTTGCACACAAGTTGATCAGTGCAGTGCAGTCAGAATTGAGTCTAACTTTCTGAAATATATGGATTTTTATGGCAGAGGCTTAGCATTGGTATCTGTTTACAAGGCTGAACTGAGGATCACATGAAATTGGATCCAAAGTATATTAGTGACTCTTTAGCTCCACTCAGTTAAACTAGCTTGTCCCGTTGATTTAAATTTGACTTAAAGTATGAATAATTTCATTTGGATTCATCTAATAAATTGTATTTGAGTAGAATGCATGTCCCACAATTTTAATTATAGAGTCACTCATCAGAGATTAGGAAGAGAATCTACCAATCAGTGGATACTGTTTCCAGATGTACTTTAGTCCAGTTATAATATCTTAAGCTATTTTGTCTTCCTGTTTTTAATAATGGACATTGAATTTCAGTTTACTACTTTACAGTGTATGACGTGATCTAGGCAAAATGTATGTTGGATTCATACATTTCTGTGGAATGGAAGATTGTGCTGGTAAAATATAAGTCATGAAACTGGCATAGTTTAACCAATCTGATTTCATTTGTAATTGCATTTAGGATGGTTTTGGTTATTTTGCTGCTGAACTGTCCTTATAAAAAAATAGAGATCCTTCATGCTTGAGGACATTTTGCAGCATACATGTATGGCCTTGCATTTTGAAATAACAATGCAGGGATTGCACTGTAAGCTATATATCGTTATTTAAAAGTAACTGCTTCTGAGCTAAGGGGTCATACAGATGGGGCAAAAAGATTGGCCAGAGGTTGCTCACACCTGGATCGGCATGGGATCACGATGACCACACTGATCTAGGCTTCCACCACATTCCTGAATGGGATGCTGACAAAGAGCAGACTTTCCCTGCTTCTTTTGCGGGAGGCTTTTCCCAGCCATGTTTGAGGTGTGTGTTGTCTAAATGCCATGCCCCAGATATGGCCCAAAGCTGGCACTTTTGGCCCATCTGCTTCAGGCCTCAGTGGGAATTTTTGCCCTAGTAAGTTTCTTTACTTATTTATTTCTTTAACCTGTTTTTCTCTTAGCATGGAATCCAAGGTAGCTTTCCAAAATGCTAAAGCAAGAAAAACTAAAAACTGGATAATCAAAATAATAATAATAAAATAATAAAATTTATTTATATCCCACCCTTTGGGGACCCAATCAGGGCGGCTTACAACAATAAAACCATACAATATATCCCAAAACATAATCCTTCCCCCCCCCCCTTAAAACAGTATTAAATCAATGAAAATTAAAACTACAAATTCGAACAATTAAAAAATTAAAAACTTTACAAACATAAAATAAGATTGGCCCAAGGCAATGTTCTTCATCCACCAGTAGATGGGGCCATACAAAGATCATTGGGAGTGGGAGTACCCGAGGCCGGAATAATTAATCTGGAAAGGCCTACCAGAAGAGATCCGTCTTGACAGCCTTTTTAAAGCTGTCTAATGATGTTAACTGATGGATCTCATCCGGCAGGCTGTTCCAGAGTTTGGGGGCGACAACTGAAAAAGCCCTCTGGGAGGTAGCCGCAAGCCTCGATTTCTGAGGCTGCAGCAGATTCCTCCTAGAGGAATGGAGAGCACAGGGAGGATTGTATGGGAGGAGACGATCCCTGAAATAGCTTGGACCCAAGCTATTTAGGGCTTTAAAGGTGATAACCAACACCTTGTACTGGGCCCGGAAGCTGATAGGCAGCCAGTGGAGAGACTTCAAAACAGGAGTAATGTAGTCCCTCCTAGATGTTCCTGAGACAAGCCTGGCTGCCATATTTTGTACCTGCTGTAATTTCCTAACCAAGCACAAGGGTAGCCCCATGTAGAGCGCATTACAGAA